GTTTAAGGAAATTGCCGGAAAAACTTTTCTCAAAACCCCACAGAATATAGAACAATATTTATTGGTGGATAAAAGAGTAGATCTTTCTAAACTTACAGAGGCAAATACCCAGATTGCTTTTGGAAATACTATGCCTTTTGTGATTGGACTAATAGGTAAGAGTGCAATTCCGCAAATAGAAAATGCTGGATATAGAGTAGATTATAATGGAGCAGGGAAAATTGTAGAACAATTTCCAGTAGCAGGTACACCCATTAAAAAAAGGCAAAAAATATATTTAAAACTTCAATATTAATTCTAAGCTAATGTTACTAAAAGAACTTCTAAAAAATGTCAAATTCTATCAATGCTTTGGTTCAGACAATTCCGAAGTAAGTGGGATTGTTTTTGATAGCCGAAAGGCAACTGAAGGTAATCTATATGTAGCCCAAAAAGGCAACTCGACAGATGGACATCAGTTTATAGAAAGTGCCATTACTAATGGGTCTAAATCTGTGGTTTGTGAAAAACTGCCCAATATTTTGCATCCTGAAATTACCTATATTTTAGTAGAAAATACCACTAAGACCCTAGGTGTTTTAGTATGTCAATTTTATGGAAATCCTAGTGAAAAGCTCAAACTAATAGGAGTAACAGGGACCAATGGTAAGACGACAACAACTACATTACTACATGAGATTTTTGAGAAATTGGGTTACCATACTGCTCTCATTTCTACCGTAGAAAATAGGATTGGAAATACCAGAATCCCAGCAACGCACACTACACCAGATATCATAACCACTAATCAACTTTTGGCAGAAGCAGTGGATGCGGGTTGCGAATATGCCTTTATGGAGGTGTCTTCTCATGGGATTCACCAAGGTCGTATTGAGGGATTGCATTTTGCTATAGCAGGTTTTACGAACATCACCCATGATCATTTGGATTATCATAAAACCTTTGATGAATATCTGAAAACCAAAAAACAATTCTTTGATCATTTGCCAAAAGAAGCTATCGCGATTACCAATTTAGATGACAAAAATGGCAACATCATGTTGCAGAATTGCAATGCAAAAAAAAGAAACTATGCCCAAAAAACCATTGCAGACTATCATGGAAAAATATTAGAAGCAGATCTCAATGGTATGCTGCTTAATTTCAATGGAAAAGAATTTTGGACTACCCTCACTGGTAAATTTAATGTGTATAATCTTTTATTAGCTTTTGCTATATCTGCAGAATTGGGTTTTGAAGAAGGTGAAATACTACAAGCCATTTCCCAACTCAAAAGAGTGAAAGGAAGATTTGAAACCATCATATCCAACGGAGGAATTTACTTTGTTGTGGATTACGCACACACTCCAGATGCTTTGGAAAATGTGTTAGATTCCATCAACGAGATTAGAACCAAAAATGAAAGACTAATTACAGTGATGGGTTGCGGAGGTAATCGGGACAAGGACAAACGACCAGAAATGGGAAAAATAGCCACTCGGAAATCTACACTTACCATAATTACTTCAGATAATCCAAGAACAGAAGATCCTAGCGAAATAATCAAAGAAATTGAAAATGGAATTGAACCTCAAAATTTTAGTAAATATACCATTATTCCCGATAGAAAAGAGGCCATTAAAATGGCCAT